GTCATTAATTTAGAGATTTTTTTTTTAAATTTATTCTGTTTTTTATTTTATTGGTTTGTTGAATATGTGAACTGTCTCATTCTCATGACTATATACATATTAAATATATTAGTAAGCACATCACTCTTGTGTTCATTACATGGAAATGTGAGTCGTATATTGTTACTGAAGAATTCTTCATATGTATCTTCAAATACATTTGGTGACTCCGCATGTTTTTCAAAGCATATTTCAATCAATTTTGTTAGCATGTAAACATTTGTATTTGGATGTGTCAAAAATCCTCTTGTCTTCAAATTTATAAGATCTGCTTCTGAGACAACAACTTGACCATATTCAGGTTTTATGCTATTTAAGCACATTTCACATTTAATGTGTTTAATTATATTTTTATTTATATACCTACCAAATAACATAAAATTATAATACAATAATTAAAAAATAAAATAAAATAAATGTAAATTAATACTATTTACCCAGCTAAGAAATACACAACACATTCAAAAACTGTAGAAGAGTTATTAAAATAATTATGGACTTGAAAAATATCGTCAAAATCCCAAATACCTTCTTCAACAATGCTGTCAATTTTCTTTTTTAAATTGTTAATTTTTAAGTCTCTTGTATATTGATCATGTTTATTCATTATTTCTTTCATATCACTGATTGTTATAACAGGAACATTCTCTTTAAAAGTAAGTTGAATCCAATTATATTTATGATGATACGATATAATATTCAAATAATACATTTTTTGTTTCTATTGGGGTTACCTCTTTGTTATTCAAATGTAAAATAATTTTTGATTCTATAATTATTAATTTAACATCAAATTATTTAATATTACATAAATCTTTTTAATTAAATACTTTTAATAAAATACCATTAGTTATGATGAGTTGTTTTTCAACGAATCTGGTAAAATTATTTTGAAAAGAGCTTAATTTATGGAAAACAATTATGTATGCATTTTGTACTAACTCTACATTTGCTTGCCATTTATTTGGAATATTAATTAGACTCATATTATTATAAACACTTTGATATAATGTCAAATTTATAAGATCATTCAATGGTTCAGTCTGAAAAAAAATTTTTTAAAAAAATAGCTAAAAAAGAATAATTAAATATTATAATAATGGTGAAATAATAATTATTATTTATAATTTTAATCCCAATAAATGTACTAACCTTTATTCTTTTAGGCATGGGCTCCTGCAATTTGTCACTTAAAACTACTAAAGAAGAAATATTATAAGACTGTTCTATTGACAATGGATGTTGGCTGGTATTACAAAATTCAAAAACCTATAGAATTATACAATAATATATTTATGAGAATTATATTTTATGTGGTAACTTTAAGCTTTAAGGTTTAAATTATATACAATAAAACTACAAACCTCTACAGATTGGGTATGATTAAGTGTAGTTGTTCTGCAGCGCATGACTGGTACTGCTCCAGATTTTAATCGTAGTCGTTTCAGACATATCTTATTAATAAATAATATACACAATTCGTTAGTTTCCAATTTACGCTGGTTTTAATCTTTGTAATAAACACTTACAGTATATTTAATGTGACCTTCGCCTAAACTCCATGTACCAATTAAATCTGCTTCTTTAAAATGACTAGAGCAAATACGATCCCATTTTTTAAAAATGATTCCTAGTGCTTCTTCCCATTTTTTTTTCTTGGTCATCTTTTGGAATGCCAAATGTGTTTTTAGAAATTGTATGCGGTTCTCGTACGCAACAATGAGGCATTTTAAATATTATGATTTTTATGTTTGTCAAAATCTCAAACAATATAACGATGAATTAACTCTCATCAGTCAGCATAATAGACAAATAACATTGATAATTATAATTTATAATATGTTATAACTTATAGTGAACACGGGTTATAAAATATAAATTATAAATTATAATGTACAAGCACTTCAAAATCACTGCATTATAGATACCATGATATAAATAACTAGTATATAGCTATTTATATCATGATAGATACCATCTAAAAAATAGAGAGAATTTCAAAACCGATGTTCTTTACGTAGTTACTGCTGTTATTCACTGGAAGCGCTAACAGTTATTAGAAATCCGGGAGAACTATACTCGCCCGCATTTGATACATGATTTTGATGGTCCGTCCCGCAACCGTAGTATCTATAGCCGTGGTCCAGGCCCACGGGATAAGTTGCCTTATCGCACGTCACGCTCGCTGAGTACCTGCTTGGTTATATTACAGACTATATGAAAACAGATAGCTCACTCGGCCGAAAACAATGGGGAAAAAATAAGATCTTCTGATTGGGTGCGACCAAATCAGTGTAGCTACATGCATTTATCTAAAATATTGTTCAGATGTTTTGCAATATTATTGTATGCTTGTTTGTAGTTCCGTTTAATAATCATCTTAATCGTACTAGTATAAAACAATTTATTTACTTAGTAATTACTAATTAAACATATTATATCCAAGTAGCTAGTAATTAGTAAGTTATTGACATATTGACATGTATAACTGTAAAAGGCGATAGTTATCATTAGTTATAGTTAACAGTTTAACACAAGATTTTAACCATAGATATGTGCTTAATCTGTGCTTTTAACTTTACTTTACATCTAACAATTTTTTAGTTTAAAATGTTTAAATATTAACCCAGATTAAATTACATTATATACACAATTACTATTTATCGTTACCTACAGGCTATAATACATTAGCACAGTAAAAGTGTAAACTGCAAACATAATGATGGTATCATACATTCATACTTCATAGTCATGAGGAGAATATTGATTTCAATATTTTTGGACATTTTCTAATTTTCTATGCTCTTTAAGAACAAAGATAACTGGTAAGTATATATTAAAACATAAAAATTACATATAATAATATATAAGTAATCTATATGATAAGTTTAATTGCATATTTTGTTCATTCAAAATCTATGGACGCCAATGATTATAGGCAGGTATTCTAAACAATTACAAAGAACATTATTTTCTTCATCACTTTAACATGCTTTATTTACAATATAAAGACAAATATTATACAAATTATTTAAAAATTATTAATGTTTAATTTATAATTTATTACAGGTATTCAAACATAAAAAAAACAAATGTAGTACCTACCATACAATTCAATAAGTGCATATTAAATTCTAATAAAAAAAAGGTATTTATTAAATTACAATACATCACAATTATTATAAAATGAGTACAAGAACAAAATATTGATTCACAAATGCTGTAAAATTGCTAACTTTCTATTTTTAATTTTTTTTTCAGATACTAAATGTCTATTTAAAAATTTAATTGAAGAATAAATTCGGAAACGCAAAAAAAAATTAAGTAGGTAATCCTTATCAAAATTAGGGCACGGATGTTCAAAATCAATATTAATCATTCTCATTTTAAGTTTATCACCTACTCCTATTTCAACTGATACAATAGGAAAATTATTTATAAATTTAGTTTCTAAATTATAAACGTAATTATAAAAATTTTCATGGGGTATATTTAAATTTCCAAAAGTTGATTTTTCAGCATTTTCATACGCTTTGAAAAAAACATAATAAAAATAAAGGATCTACATTTTTTTGTGTTTTTGCATACTCTAAACATATTTCACATGAGTGTTTGATTAGACATTTACTCATTATATATCCACAAACATAAATGAATGCATTTCGATCAGGAATTTCTAAATTTCTATAATCAACTTGTCCAGTAGAAAGAGGAAACATTTTATTAAATTTAAAAGGTGTTTTATCAGCAAATAGGGTATTAATGTCTAGGCCTGAATCAGTGGGTATTTGAGTTAAAATTGCATCCAAATCATTTATGCAATTTGCTTTTTCTGAATGATGAAAATAATTAAGTAAAAAAATTTTTTTAAATGCAAACAAAAATTGATAAGGAGTTGGATTAGTGTTGTTCCCATTTTGTTGTCTAAGTGTACAAAAAAGATTTTCAAGACAATCCTGATTTAATCTGGCAGTATATAAAACATAATTTTCTTGTTGGTTTAATGTTCTTGTTGCTTTTAAGTCTTTCCAAAGTAACAACAAGCCAGTTATGGAGACTAACCAACCATTAATGAATTTCATCCGGTTAGTAACATTAGTTTGTTCTTTTTTGGTATTATAATTAAATTTGTAAAAAAAGTCATACATATTATATTTTAAATTATCTTCTTGTTATTTTGTTTGTTTAAAGGGTCTATTGAAATTTTTTGAAGTCGGCCTTCTTGACGAGTTAAAGATATCAAATAGTTTGTCCATATTTTCGATAAAATCTATTGTTGCCTTTGCAGAAGAGTCCAATTTGTTATCAACAAGGTAAGTCTCCATGCCGGCTACTACACTTTGACTAAACACTTGTGCTGCCAAAAATACTTTCATTTTCTCAAATGGTCCAGGGAAAATATGAGAATGTGTTAATTTTTGGGCTGCTCTTAAATTACATTTACTGTCTTGTTCGAAAAATGATATCAAGTGTTTTTTTCAATCAAGTTATTATCAAATTTAAAATTGTGTTGAAAAAACATATTTCTTGTAGATTTTAATAAATGGGGAGGGTCAAATATATACATTATTTTATTTTCAGAAACTTTAAAAAAAGGTCGGGCTGGTGTAACATTAACATTTTTACTAAAATTAACAAAGTTAGAACCCATATCTGTAATAAATACTTTTACATTTAATCATATATCAAAAAGTTTGTGAATAGTTTCAAAAATTATATCCTGCAAGTCATATCCGGTACAACAACCTGATACTAAAAAGTATGCAATTGGTTGTTTCCAGTTTACATTTATTTCTCTAGCCATTAGAACAAATGCATACTTGGCAGGATTATATGTCTTTGTCTTATTTGTTTGATGGAACCTATTTCATCTGCACAGAGGACACATTCTTTAGCTTCTTCAGTAAAATATTTAATTTTATACTTAATAATATTAAAAAGAAAGTCATTCAAGCCTGGTATTATTTCAAATTTATGAGTTAGACGTTTTAAATTAGAAATTGATGGTAGTGAAAGAGTATTTAATACAAGTTTATAAACTCTAGGTCCTATAAAGTAAATATTTAATGCTTATTGTTTAATTTCATTATTATATCGATATCCTTCTTTTTATTTTTGTTTTAAATTAATTTGGGACTTGACAATAGTAAATAACCCAGGTGATAGATATTTTTCACTTAATTTTAAAAAATGTTCAACTGTATCGTAGTTAGATAATTGTTGACTAAGACTTACTATGTTTTTTTTTAAATGTTTTATTTATTTTTTTCCAGATAGAATCTCCATAGCCAGTTTTTGTTTCCTTGGTGTATTTGCCGATATGTATCCAGGAGTTTTACATGAAGAATCAGTTGTTGTGGTTGAGCTGCAGGATTCATTTGAAACATCAGAAGTATTCATAGACCCAACTAAATGACTTGATAATCCTTCAGTGCCTTGAATTGAACTACAACAACTACTTTGATTTTTTGAATTATCATCAAAATATTGTAGATCTACTCGTGTCGTCGATTGTAATTTAGCCAATTTTGATCTTTCAAATATTATTTCATCTAAAAATTGTGATTAAACAATGTAATTAAATCAAGAATTAGTTTATTGAGATCAAATTTTGATTTTGAAATTATTAAAATATTTTTAAACATGTTTCAATCATTTTATTATTTACTTACCATTAAATACTATTGGGATAGCATTAAAAACTAGTCGGTTTTTGGTTGTAGAGTTCAAAAATATTGAATCTTCAAAGTGATTGCCACATACCTTGTAACTATTTTTTTTTGATAGTTCTGCAGACAGATTTTCTGTACCACAATTGTTGATCCATATTGGTAGACGATCATCTTTTGGATATTGGAAAAACCTTATATTTCTAGCACTTGCTTTACTTTTGCAAAATTGTACAGAGCAACGCATTCCAGTTTTTTTACTGTCCATTTTTAAATTGTTTAGCAATATTAAATAGTATGTCGAAAAAAAAATTGTAAAACGTTCACACTTGGTCAGTGATCAACTAATAAGTCACATGGAAATCACACAAACAGCAACTAGAGGACAAGTTAACCTAAGGGATGTAAAAGGTCAGGATTACCTGAACATAAAGAATACAAGTCTAGAGAGGGTAGTTAATACGAATTTCAATGTTGGCGCCAGGTAAGAATCGGGACATATTTTTTACGTGTACCAAACGATATTTTATGCCTGTATTATGGTCACACTGATTTTGTCACGGTGATAATATTCATAGTTTTTGTTTACATCCTGAGTGATCTATCTGTTTTCATATAGTCTGTGGTTATATCGCATAGTGCATATATTTGAGTTGGACGTCACATCTCTTTTAAGATTGTTAGTTATTTTACGATCGTAAACTATCAAACGAAGAACCCAGAATATATTATCTGTACTAGTAAATGAATGTCTATAGCTATAGTATTTGATACATAATTTTAAAATAATTTAAAAATAATTAAGATACAGCAAGGTAAACAATTAAATACTTAATAGATTAGATTACACAAGACATTTGATTACTACAGTTACAGTATTGTGCCAGAAGTGCTTTCATAAATACTCAAAAACGTGCAAACAATTTATATATAAATTTTTTATACTGCGCTCAAATGGGTTATCCTCTCATACAAATGTAAGTCAATTACATTTTGTACTAGACTATTTAAATCATTATAGCAATGAAGAAAATATTTGAAAATCTATATTTGCACTTCATTTTGAAACTTGAATTCGATTTAAGCAGCCTACGATAAAAATTAAATATGTTTTTAGAACCTAATAAAAGTATTATTATTCTCCTGTAATAATTTGGGAAATTTTATTTTTATGATACGAATAATTTAAAAATACAAAATTATAGATCATTCCCGATGAATTTCCGGACTTAGGAGGTATTCCTCAGAAATGACTCAAAATATCCTTTAGCCTCCACCACCAAAAAAAGTGTGAGATCGAAGCTTATAGCTCACATTGGTATTAATTATGTTAGCTCCTCAGAAATTTGAATGGATTTCCGGCTATTCTTCTCATAATGGAAACTTTGTAACATCAAAGATCAAAGCAAACATATTTTTAAAAAAATGATTACTTACGAAAATCATCTGAAAACAAAATGTGGTTATAAATCATAAAATATTTTTAAATTTCCAGTTTTGGTTAAACCATATCATATTTATCGAGATAGCAAAATGTTATCAAAAATAAATTTAAAAAATTAAAACAAAAATGTATAATGCACAATAAATTTCAGTTTGACATTGATATGCTATGTAAACACTACATAGTTACTATTAGAAATTTTTAATTAATTTTAAGTTTTAATACACATTAATAATTATACATACTGATGAGAAACGTTGTGTAATTTATTGAAAATTCTGTAAAAATATATGTTATTGTGAAATTTTCAATCGGTTTTGCTATGCCCATCTACATTCTACATCATATATGATACATGTAACTTTTTAGATTAAAATAATTTCAATTAAATATCCATGTCTATTCATATCATACAAAACTGACCCTAGCTTAGTCGTTGTACTTTCTTAGTGATCACTTAAAACACAATATTAATTTAAGAAAACTCGTTTTAACAGAATTTAGCCGTAGATAGGTACTAATTTTTTTTGTAACTATCCAAAATGAAGCTACCTCAACATTTAACCAATAATTAACATCCATTTTAACGACAATATTTAATGATTCAAATCTGCTTGTGAGTTTTTGATTTTGCATTATTTATGACGTAAAGAGAAATAAGAAAAATTGAATGAGATGAAAGTATTAACTTCTTTCGATATAAGTTTTTTTTTCTTCATCATTTGCATTCATTACACCATAAATAATTCAATCCTCAACTTTAAGAGTAGATTTTGGTGAGCAATTATAATTTAATTGGCAAAAAATAATTTATTCAAAGTTTTTCAGTTGTAATTCAAAAATAAACGACCGAATGCTAATGTAGTAAAGTTACTACAACTGACATAATGAATGTAAAAGAAAAATCAAGAAAGCACATCTTTATTCTTTAATTATTCTATCGCTTTAAAATTTAAATGGACAAGTAATATAGTTGTATTATACTGCCTATTATATTATAATAAAAAAATTAAAAAAATTCCCTTCATAGGATATTTGATTATAAAATGTATCAACCAGTTAATAATTTAAAATGATATTACACCTACAAATTTATATGCAGTTATTTTTTCTTTTTACTAATTCTTCATTTTGTAATATAAACTATATTGGTCTTACGTTATAATCTTTAGATGAATGAAATTATTAAATAGTTGATTTATATAGTTTTTTTTAAAAAATATTTTTATGAGTTTTCAATAAATTTAAAATGCTTAATTGGATCATATATGACACCTATAAGTACTCCACAAATTTTTAAATGCATGCTTCAATGATAAAAAATTCAATAAAATCACTAAAAATACATTTTACTTCGAATTAAATTGAATACTAATGTATTTATACGTACTTCTTATGAAATTCCCTAAAACAAAAAAGGAAAAATTATAAAAATTATGTATAATAAATGTGATTATTAATGGCCATTCCGAAAAATAATAGATACAGAATATAAAATATAAAAAACAAAAACCATTTTAAAAATTCAATCAAATAGAATAATTTGCAATCGATCCAAATATTGATGAATAGGGAACGGACTTTATTGTAATGAAAAAGGTAAAAAAAACTTTTCATTTATTTTTAATTAATATTTTCTTGTAAATATGTAATGTGTATATAAATAATGAGATTATCAAAAAAGTATTTTATAGTTAAAACTTAAAGGACAGACTCATTTTAACATATTGCGGTCTGCGTCTTGTAAACTATAATACAACTCATGATAAACTCCTTGTTATAGAAGGTGAATAGTTATATTGAATAATAGGGTGACAATCCCTAACCTAACGGATTCATTACTACCGTCCGGCCTCAATTACAGTAGGTAAGTAAAGATTTTTAAACACATTAAAAAAGTATACAATATTTACGTACTAACTGCTCCCTCTAGAAATAAAATAATAAATTATAATACGTGTGTACTATTGATTGTCAACCTGAGAAATAGATCTTATGAATGACCTGCTTATACAAAATATTTAATTACGCTGAATTTTAAAACTATTGACTGATTTGAGTTGTCTATACGCATGATTTGAATTTATGTTGATGCAGTAATTATTAAATCGTGGTTATAAACAATTAAATACAAGATTTAAATACATTTTATTAGCCTATTACAGCAATCAACAAAAAATAATTAAATTATCTAGTTCATAATATTATTTTGCCATGAGTAGTTATTATTTATAACGAATTAGATGATAAACAGCGATGACCACTAAAAAGACTCTATTCTACAATTCACTGTAACAGTGTCTAACCGAAACTGCTGTCGAGACGCCTGGTGTTGAAGTGGTGGTTTTTTTAGGTGTAGATTACACACAATCATTTTTAAAAGGTACATAGAACCCCTCCCCCTTCCCCCAACACCGGAAAAAGTGTTTTCGTTTGTGCTTTTGTGATTTTCTGTGGCATGGAAACGAAACAAAACCAACATTTGAATTTTCGGAAGAATTCCAAATGAGCCATTCTTTGGTAGTTTGTTATTGATATTCTGTACAAATTTTTCGATGTTTGTAACTACCTATACTCTTTTGCTTTCGGAGTTTTCCTTAAAGTTTATGAGGGGCCTGTAAAGACATCATCCCCCACCATGCATTATTTTTGTCCTCTAATTATTTATCGTAGTTTTAACGTACAAATAAGTTACATGTAATAGTTTAATCTATATAAATTACTTAGGTAATCATAATTGTAAAATTCAATAGTTTCAAAGATCCTTTTTAAAAACTGGAAGCTATGAAAAATATCTAAAGGATGTTTATGTATCATTACTTTTTTTCATAAAAAAAAATTATCTTATTCCATATAGGTGGATATCAAAGGAGTTAACTTTAAATAACCCCGACATATTGATAGATTACCAATTGTACTTATCATGATGGATAACTTTTTAGGAATAAAGAATAATGAAGAAATATTAAAAAATAAATGGAATNAATACAAGATTTAAATACATTGTATTAGCCTATTACAGCAATCAACAAAAAACAATTAAATTATCTAGTTCATAATACTATTTTGCCATGAGTAGTTATTATTTATAACAAATTAGAAGATTAACATCGATGACCACTAAAAAGACAACTCTATTCTACAATTCACTGAAACAGTGTCTAACCGAAACTGCTGTCGAGAAGCCTGGTGTTGAAGTGGTGGTTTTTTTAGGTGTAGATTACACACAATAATTTTTAAAAGGTACATAGAATCCCTCCCCCTTCCCCCAACACCGGAAAAAGTGTTTTCGTTTGTGCTTTTGTGATATTCTGTGGCATGGAAACGAAACAAAACCAACATTTGAATTTTCGGAATTCCAAATGAGCCATTCTTTGGGAGTTTGCAGTTATTGATATTCTGTACAAATTTTTCGATGTTTGTAACTACCTATACTCTTTTGCTTCCGGAGTTTTCCTTAAAGTTTATGAGGGGCTTGTAAAGACATCATCCCCTACCATAACGAATTATTGGTCCAAATCAATCTCAGTAGTTTATACTTTGTCGATGTTTATTTGAACTCTGTGACCCATCGATATTGTTTTACTCGTAAAAAATGGATTAACTTGTATCTCCTAAAATTATGCTATAACTAATAAAACTAATTCAGGCTCTAGAGTTTTACCTGTGACTGTATTTGGTTAGTAGGCAAAAGTGATCCATTATTTTTGTCCTCTAGTTATTTATCGTAGTTTTAATGACAAAAAGTTACATGTAATAGTTTAATACATATAAATTACTTAGGTAATCATAATTGTAAAATTCAAAAGTCTCAAAGATCAGTTTTAAAAACTGGAAACTATGAAAAATATCTAAAAGATGTTTATGTATCATTACTTTTTTTCACAAAAAAAAATTATCTTCTTCTATATAGGTGGATATCAAAGAAGTTAACTTTAAATAACCCCGACATATTAATAGATAACCAATTGTACTTATGATAATGGATAACTTTTTAGGAATAAAGAATAATGAAGAAATATTAATAAATAAATTTAATTGGTTACTTACGCACTCTAGCTGTGATAAAATAAAATGTACAGTTATTGATTATAGAACATTCAAATATTGTTGTATATTGTAATTCTGTTAACATGCATCCAATAAATGGTATAAAATAAAATCAACTTACGAATGTTACCTACAAAGAAAACACAGAGTAATAATTAATGGATATGTACATTTCAAAAATGTAAATCTAATTTTATGATTACAGAGGAAAACCAAATTATTTAGTTTATTTGAAAAGTATTCATTTTTTTTTTTCAATTTTTAATGTTA